TCAAAATTGATATTTATAATAAGTTTTAGACGACAAATAAGAATATTATAAATTTTCGGAAAATGGGCGTAGCCTCGCCCACTTATGGTTACATGTGTATATTTTGGTAACCGCTGCACCAATTTCTTCCAAACATGGCACAGTTGTTGGCCTTTGCACAACATACCAAATGGCCGAAAATTTTTAAAATCGGACAATAACCACGCCCACATCCCATATAACGGTAATTTAGAGAAATACAAAATCTTCGATAAAACAGTAAACATTAAAGCTAATTTATTCAAAATTGATGCTTGCAACAATTCTTAACCAAGAAATACGTTTGTGATAAAATTTTGGAAAATGGGCGTGGCACCGCCCACTTACCACCAATTTGTACCAAACTCGCTACGGTTATTGTGCTTGCCACATAAAAGAAAAACGTTGAAAATAATTGAAATCGGACTAAAATAGAGGCCGCTTTTCATACAACGGTGAATTTCAGAAATGCTTGAAACTTCAATATTTCGAAATTTAAGGACTCTAATTTATTCAAAATTGATACACCCAGGCTTACCATATAGCGGTAGCTTTCGGAAAGGTGAAAAACTTATATTTAGTACGTGCGCCGGGTATTTAATGTTCGGCTCCGCCCGAACTTAGACTTTCTTACTTATTATTCTTTATAACAATACAGTTTATACTAAATATATGAAAAGACAAAAAAAAATTGTTAAACTTTGTGCTAAACTCGGCAAAATTCAATAAATTTGCGTACAAATTTGCAACATTCTAATCAGACTTTTTATACAAATTTTTAAGATGAAGTTTTGCAGCCCGTTAAATTTTAGTTGATTTTTGGTATTGTTTTTACTGAGAGTTTCTTCCATACAAACTATGTTCGATAATTCTTTTTATATGAAGGACACTGTCAGCAAAAAAAATGCTAAAAATCAACGAAATTTGCTGGCAACTTCAGACTTGCACTTTATTAATTGGCCCAAAAGCTACATTTTCAAAATTTGTCTAAAAGATCTGATTAAAAATTGTGATCTGATGAAAGAGCCTCCGAGCCAATAATTTTGTACGGCACTGTACTCTAGGTTTCATGAAAGAAAAAAACTTAGGTACAAGATAACATTAAAATATCAGTAATATTTTTCGTTGCTGTGAACTTGTTTCAAAACTTCTGTCTTTTCCTTAATATAATTGTAAAACTCTGTGCACGTCATTTTGAACGTATTTAGGTACATATACGAATCATCAACTATTGCTTGTGCAAAGTTCAACTATCTCGAAATGTGAATAAATATTTCACAAATTAAACCGGTCCACTGAGAGAAAGAAGTTTAGAATTAAAAAAGCGTGCTAAATTAAAAAATAGGCATATGAAAGAGCGCAAACCCAACTCGTAATACATTTAAGTATACAAATTTTAGTATTTAGTATAGAAATATTCACTTCAAATACGCCCATATTAACATGAAGCGATTTGCAATTACTGATTGCTTTTTCATAATTAAGTTAAAAAAATATTTAAATTCTATGCTGGTTGTAATGGGAATTGAGCCCTGACCCTCTGGAAATTAGCAAATTGTGGCAAGTATCTTCGCGCACTCAGTTACAGCCAGACATGTAAATGTGCATTTAAATGTTACGTTTGAATCAACACCACGCGTGCGTGTTATGAAAGTATTATTTTTAAATACGCACATTTTTAAACGATAATCAAATAGAAAATATTCATGTTTACTATGCGTTATTTCCCTCAGTGAATTCATAACATTTTTCTGAATATTACAACGCGATTTTTTCGCTTAGTGTAGTGATTTTTCAACTTTTATTCAAATTTGTGCAATCAAATGAAAAACCGGGACACTAAAACGAAACCCGGGACATTTTAAGGTTGGACCGGGACACCAAGACAAATAGTCTAAAACCGGGACATGTCCGGGAAAACCGGGACGTCTGGCAGCCCTACATATGTATGTATGAATGAGAAACTAATACCAAACTCATGGAGAAAAATGAGAGTTATTGGAAAAGGTGGTGTGGCAACTCCCATGCAAATTGATTTTTCTATGCTGCATATCTCTGGAGGTGTTTATTGCAGAGGACTGGAACTTGGCACCGAGATGTGTATACAAAATTATTTCCATTCTACTGGAGAATAATTTGCGTTATTCCGTACAAATTTACTGTTTTATACTGCTTATCTCTAGAGGTGTTCATGGTAGAGTACTGGGACTTGGTACTGGGGTATGTAAAATCAATTCTAAATTCATGGAAGAAGATCAGGGTTATAAGAAAAAGGGGCGTGGCACTTCCAGTACAAATTTACTTTTTCTTGCCACATATCTCTGGAAGTGTTTGTGGAAGAATACTGGAACTTGGTATTGAGTTGTGTATACAAAATATATCAATTGCTCATGGAAAAAATGTGAGTTAATAAAAAAGGAGGCATGTCGCCTCCCATACATACTAAAAACTTCTTAATACATATCTCTGGAAGGATAGAAAATCTCTCGAGGTATTTTAAATTTGTTATGGAGATTTATTTTATAAGTGCCGTACTGACAGAATAAATTTCATTAAATGGAAAAGGGAGAGCCGGGTTCGGCCTAATAATCTAAAGCTCTCTTGAGGCATTTGCTACAGTAATGAGAGGTGGTATTTTATCAAGGCCAGGTTACTAAATTTGAGTTGGAAATATTAGAACCCGCCGTGGCACCTCCAAGAAGGTTACACGTTCACGCGTCGTATACCTGGAACCATTTTAAGGTAAACTTAGGAGGATTGATATCTTTCGTATACCTAAATACCTTAACTCGCTTAAAAAATAACGAGCTATAACGAAATGGGCCCAGAAATAAAATCGAACATCCCTGAATTATTTTTCATATTTGTATTAAAGCGCGGGGTGAAACCGCGGGTATAAGCTAGTATGCATATAATTCATATATGTAATACTTCTATATTGGCAGTAAGCTAATAGCGAGAGAGTCTAGTACCGTTTTTGTGAATGTATTGTATACATGAGTCATGATTCAATTATACAAGGTTGGATAAATATTGACATTTGTGTCAATCGACTGCCTTGTAAGGTTGCATTTAAGAAGGAAAGAGAAGCGGGTCACAATTTTATCCCCTTTTGTGTAAAGGTAGTAGGAAAAGTAATTAGTCTGGTAGTGCTGAAATGCGTTTTTGTATACAAATTGAATTAAATATATAAAGAAGATTCCACTGATCTACACAATAGACAATGAATTAATTTTGTATGGCCACATAAATATTAAAAATGAAATAAATGAATATTCACATAAAATTCTTGCCAAAGAAAAATCTTTGAAGTCTTTGAAGAAATATTCCCAAATATTCAAAATAAACCATGGTTTCATTGATATTCCTAGTTGGTGAGAACATAATAATTCTGACTTTACTTCTTTTGGACTACCCTAATGTGCTTACAATAAAAGCTATGAAGAGTCAACGTAGCGTGCCTCATTTTTTTGATAATCTGATACTCGTCGCTTCATATTTAGTATACTATAGCTGCCGCGTTTTTAAAACTGTTATCGGACAACTTGTATAGTGTTTTGGAGAGTAAAAGGAGTCAATCTAAACGTGGCAAGAATATGTGCTCTCATTGGAAGATAGTTAAAAAAAACAACTAATTTAAGTGAAAGGTTGCGATGCGTGCACCAAAGTAAAAATGCATACTTTTTATTAGCACATCGTCATCAGTTGTTCATATGCGTATGAGTCAGACCAAAGATCAGTTCTATAGACTTTCAAAAAACAAAAAAACCAACAAAAGTTGTTCGCGCAGGAAGCACTTCGAAACAATTGGTCGCTTCGCAATAATGGGTCAGGTCTAAGGACTTGTTTGGTGCCCCGTTTATTTAATAACTTCCGTTTGTGTCAGCTTTAAATATTTCTTTATTTAATAAATGTTATATATATATATACATACATAAGCTTAGTATAAATTTATGAATACATCCAACAACACTTATGGATATTTGTCTTTTGTTTGTATGTAATTGTAAATACGAGTACATTTATATGTACTTACGTCTACATATTTATAAATATTTATCTGCATATATATATTATGTATGTGTATAAGTTTTTAAAAAGAAATTACTAAATGAAATAAGATACAGTTTCGAAATAAAAAAAAAACTTTTCTCAGATCAAGAAAATTAATTAGTTACAAAAGTGTAAATCAACAAATTTGTTTTAAGAATGTTAATTATTAACTTGATTCTGGTACATACGCATGTACAATGTACATATTTATGTACTTTATATATCGTCGTTTATAGTACAAAACCGCGTATCAAGATAATGCAAAACCGCTTATGTGAGGTTGCATAAATTATTTTATAGAGAGTAAAAACACTCATACATATTTCATAATTGTTCTTTCTTTTATAAAGCAATCGCATTACTGGCTAGTACTATATTCCAGGACGAATGGATAAGGCTTGAGCCAAGAGCTTCGGTAAGCAAACCCAATGTCTGTTACGCGGTTTTGCAGAACGACGATACACGGTTTTGTACTTGAAATGACGATATGTATTTGTGTAAATTGCATTAAGCGGTTATGAACTTTTACTAGCACCACAGTTTTTGTGCTGTAGGTATACGGCCTCCCCAGACCATTTGGAAATATTAATTAGTACTATATCGATGGCTGAGTGGAAGATCGACCAATCTCGGCAGCCAGTTCGAAAACGCTCTATCTCAAAAAAATTTTAAAGAACGCCCTATTTCAGAATTCGTTTCAAAAACGCCCTATATCAGCATATTTTCAATACATTTTGTAGTGAGATAGGGCGGTTTTGAACCGAATTTTGAGACAGGGTGTTTTTCAATTAAATTCTGAAATAGCGCGTTCTTGAAAAGTTTTTTGAGATAGAGCGTTTTCGAACTGGCTGCCGAGGTAGGTCGATCTTCCACTCAGCCATCGATATATGCTATATTTAAATATGTATGTATATAAATATATCAGTATATATGTATGAATGTATGTATGTTTATTTACGTAAAACAAATAAATACACAAATATGTATCAGTAAACAGAAAATACTTAAGATAAGCACCGAAATTTTAAAATTAATTAAGCACCCAATTTTTCAACCAACATCTTTTTATAAAAATGTGCGTTTGATTGTGCATTTATTTTAACATATGTAAGTGCATGAGTCCGCATATACATGTGTATGTACATACATAAGTATGTTGTCTTAGCACCTCGCGGTACTGTTGTCCGTATAAAAGTAACGTGTTCTAACGTAAAAACGTAATAGCGTAAAAAGACAAAGTTAAGTAAGAACATAAAGTTTTAATTATTTCACTATCTTCGCACGTTTCCCTCCTTTGCATGCAGTGTTTCGTCAGCATCTACTCATTTGCGCCCGTCAACAGAATGGTATCCTCTGGCAATGGTTTGCGTTTGTAGGAAGACTCAGTGACCAAGTACATAACTAAGGCGCCAAAAATCACGTACAACACTCCCAAGCTGTTGCCCATCACTCCGGCATTCGAGAAGGAAGAGTAATCGGAACTGAAAAAAATATTCAAATAGATGCTTTCCATTTCCAGACAACCGGTCAGGTACGAGCATGGTTTTTAATTTCGACCAAACTCAAATACATTGTTTGTTGGTCCAAATAATGAGACACGTATTTTTTCTTTTGCCTCGGAAAAATTTTTCGGCCGAATTAAACGCGATTTTGTTTTTCAGGCAAAAATCGACTTTTCGAATTGACAGTGAGAATTTTTTTTTTAAATGCCCATAACTTTGTCAAAATTTAATAGATTCCAACAATGTTTTTACTCAAATGTCAGTAACTCTTGTCACTTCAAGATAGAATAATATAATTATTGATTATCATTATTTAAAATTTTTTATTTAACAATAAACAAAAAGTGCAAATTTTTTTTAAACTTAATATCTCAAAAAGTGTATTTTTTTCTCTCAAACTTTTTTACCGGGAAAGGGACACTTTGAACTACAATCAACCCAAATCTGTAATCGCGAGGATTTTTTTTTTCTGAGTTATGGTATTTTATATAAAATATACGTTTTTGTGGTACATACTACAATATTCTTATATTGTTTAACTAACTGGAACATATGTATGTAATATATCAGCAAAAAATACAGCCGTGATCATTTTTTGTGTATCAAATAGATATTAGAACACACTTTCCACCATACAGTTTCGATTATAAAAAGCGGGAAAATGTGATTTTGTATTTCGAAAAATTTTTCCGAGCCAAAAGAAAAAATACGTGTCTCATTATTTGGACCAACAAACAATGTATTTGAGTTTGGTCGAAATTAAAAATCAAGCTCGTACCTGACCGGTTGTCTGAAAATGGAAAGTATCAATATATTTTAATTTGAGTTTAGAGAACCAAATAAGTAAATATGAGTAGTCCACTTGCAAACAGCGATATGTGCTTTTATAATAGAAAGCCATAAATTTGAAAAAACGACTACGAGAACAAGTAACAACTAAACTGAATCTCTTTTATTATTACCTGAAAACTTGGATAAATAAGAGCCTTATAAAATTGTAACATAACATAACATGACATAATATAACATTAACAGTCTATACGACCTAAAGTAGTTTTCTAAGTTCATCAGAAGATGTATGAAAGTTTATAAATAAGTATGATAGCGACTTTTGGAAGAAGAGTTAACATCGTATGCTATTTTTTCCGAATATAAAAAGATTTTGCACTGTGTTGTTAGTGGACATGAAACTACTATAAATACTGGTACGTAATCCTCCAAAAACTAAAAATCGAAAAAAATTTACATGGCGCATTTGGCAAGTGGACTACTCATATATATATCCTATACACTAGTACATTGGGGTAGTCCAATATTTTTTCCGAGCTACCTCCAGAAATGAAGAATATCGAAAATAAGGATATCCCTAATACTTTTTTATATCGGTTATAACAATGGTTTCATTCATAAACAATTTATTAGTGATTCGTGTAGACATTAGATACTAAAAAATTATGCAAAAATTCCATCACGTAAATTTTCTAAGAAAATTGTTTTTTAATTTTACCGCGTGTAACTAGCGTTAACTTTGAATTTCTATAAGTCTTTCTGATTTACTTAGTCTTTAGGAGTATATCTAATTAAAACTGTTGGTTTTTAAAAGAACACTTAATTTAAGCTAATAAATTTATGTATTTTTTTACGTGAAAGTGTAATTACAAAGACTTGCTATGATTTTCCCTTTCAAAAACTAATATGCAATTTGAGTAGGTACTAGGTACTAACCTACGAAAAAAATTAAAAAAAATTCTTTATTATATTTTTTAGTATTTCTGCGTATTACTGGCGTTAACTTCGTACTTCCAAAAACCTTTATGATTGTTTTTTAAGTAAAAGTTTTATTTTAGTTTAATTAATTGTTTGCTTTTCATGAAATTTGTTAAAAATTCTAAATTATGCATGTGACCAATAATTTTAAAACTATGTTCATATTACAGCATAAATTATTTAGTTCCGATCAGATTTAAGCATGTTTGTTTCAAATATTCATTTTTTAAACCGAAAATTTTCAATTTTTATCATTACATTTTCATTGGAGTTGAACACAAGATCGTTTTTGAAATCTAATATATAAACGGTCCGACCGATCTTTATGAAATTTTTTGCGTATATATGTTAGGTATGAGAATCGGATATAAAGTATATTTCATACCGTTAGGTGCAGGGGGCGTGGCACCTCCCATACAAACCGAATTGTTCATACTACATATCTCTGGAAGTGTTCGTGGTAGAGTACTCGAACATGGTATGGAGATATATGAAATTAATCCAATACTCTTAGAGAAAATTAGGGCTATTTCAAAAAAGGGCGTGGCGCCTTTCAAACGCACTGAAACTATTACGAATCTTTGTATGCATATATGTACACTTTTGCTAGGCTATTTAAGACGGCAATGGAAATATGCTTTATGATAACCCCCAAACCGTAATATTAGAAGATAAATGCGTCGCTGAAAATCATGAATGTGAACTGTTGGTGAAAATGTTGGACCAAAATGTTTCAATACAGAAAATTAATTTTTGGCTGGACGAAGTTCGCCGGGTCTGCTAGTTATTTAATAAATATCTTAAAATAAATTTTAAGATGGAATATTTTAAATTACCTACACTGATTTGCTTGTTCAATACATATGTGGCAAACATTACGGCAACCTCAGTAGTGTGTGCTCTGTTCAAGAATGATAGAATACAAGATAGCGCCCATCTGAGAGGATTTTTGAGAATAATTTTTGTGTGACGTCACACTGTAGTTGCGAGAGAGAAATGTCAAAATGCGAACAAAAATGCAAGAACAAGAAGAAGTTTTGCTTTTTGCGTAAGCATGTTGCACAAGTATGACGTTATACAAACAGCCAATCTGTCAAATACACTGAGATGGGCGCCACCTTTGTTCTCTACTTCGTGTGCTCTGTTAGGAAATGAACATGCGGAACAATTATTAGAGGTATTGCCATCCCAGAGAGTTTTGCTTCACATTCGAAATTCGTGCTCCCTTATTTTCATTGTGACGCATTTCAATGTTGATTCTTTTACTTTTAGTTGGCTTTGCTTTTAGTTTTCGCTCAATTTAATTTTTATAATTAAAAAAAAAAAATAAAAAACGTTTGAAATAAAGTGAAGAATAAAATTTTCTATTTGATTACTAAGCAAATGTACAGTGACGAACAAAAGTATTGGCACCGTGAATTTTTCGCCATATATGCTAAGTTTTTTATTCTAATTTATTTTCGATAATTTTTTATAAAAATATAGTTCATTTTACACCAGAAAACGTAATAATAAAATCTGTATACTTTGTGCAAAACTCAGGAAAATTCTTTAAATTTGCACACTAATTTGCAACTTTTTATTCAGATTTTTTAAAAAGATTCAAAGTATGCAGTTTTATAGCCTATTCTAATTTAGTATAACGCGTTGATTTTTGGCAATTTTTTTAATGGAAGATGTTGCTCATTTTCTCCATACAAAAAATAATTGTCGAATTACTTTGTATGGAAGAACTTGCGTGAAAAAAATTACCAAAATCAATGCGATTTTCTAGCGACCTTTTCTACTACTAAATTTGAATGGGCTATAAAACTGTGTACTTAGAATTTTTCTAAAAAATCGGAATAAAAAGTTGCAAATTAGTGTGCAAATTTAATGAATTATCCTGAGTTTTGCACAAAGTTTAGAGATTTTATTATTATGTGTTCTGGTGTAGAATGAACAATATTTTTATAAAAAGTTATCGAAAATAAATTAGAATAAAGAACTTTGCATATATTGCGAAAAATTCACTGTGCCAATACTTCTGTTCGGCACTGTATATTTTTCGGCTTTTGCAAATTAAATAAGTTCTATGCAGGTTAAAAAAAAACCGTGGACATGTTTGTTATATGGTGTATAGAAATATCCCTTTGCCCTTACAGTACCACTTTTAGTGTGGGCAATAATGATATTTTTCAAATAAGACAGATCAGAATATGCGCTCTCTGGGAATACAATACCTGTAATTATTGTACCATGGTTTTCTACAAAAACACGTTTGCATCTCAATTGTTTTCAACGAACTAAGCGAATAAAATCAATGCACACGCTAAAAAAAATGACAGTTCCTTTTTCTTCATTTCGTTTTTGATTTTTGATAAATTATCTCATTTCTACTTAATTTATTGACAGATTTTACATTTTACAATAAGCCCTAAATTACGATAATTTCGATTTTGAAGGTTTAAGTATTTTTGTTGAAAATACTGTTTGTTTCCTAGTATTTAACAGTTAAAAAAATCTTACTACACTGATGAAAATGTATTTCTACACATTATATATACTCACATTGCAAATATAGCTTTCTCGGTGATGCCCATTAGAGCACTTGCTATGGCTAAAACGAATCCAAATAGGCCAAAGTAGATGTGCAGTGGCATATAAGCGACCTTAAGCGTCTGCCGCCAGCCTGGTGCTAAATAAGCTGTAAATCCTGCCACATATTGCAAACCGAAAACGATAACAGCACCGAGTCCCAACCAGGAGTGCAGGGAATACATGTTTGGTATTGGTGGATCAACCAGATTGTGCGAATCGAAGACAGTTATCAGAGCAATGACAGTCAATACAAAGGCGATCAAATGAATGCTGGCGTGTGATATTTTTAGGGTCTTCTTGCTCACGTTGCGGAAGCCACGATATACCAGAATAGCTGAAAACAAGTATACAATTTTAATAAGGATTATAAATATAATAAATATTTGGATTACGTTTAAAAGCAATACGTATGATACATAAACTGAGAAAAAAAGTAAGTGCGCCTGGGCCACACAGGAGAAGTGAAACTTACGTTACATAAATATTTATTTTGTCTCATAACTACGGTGACCATATTAACCAACGTAAAATAAAGGACTTTTTTTTCAAAATGATAAAAGTACCTTATCCATATCCTAATTTAAATCAAACATTTACTAGTACATTATATTATCTAATTGTACAAGTTACCCTTATTCAAAGTCACTGTAAACGGGGTTTTAACCGATTTCGGAAAATTAAACCCAGTCCTTATCTCTTGGTGCCATGTGTTTCTCATAATTCATACAACACGACGAAGCCAGCACACAGTGGTTTAAAATTGGAACTTGATGTTCGTAATTCACTAGAGCCCCATTTTTGAACCTATTGGATTATTCTTTTTTATGGAAGCTTATAAAATTAGTAAGAGTGCAGAAAAAGTAGCAATTTTAAAGAATATCGATTCTCTTTTTTCAGTTAATAAATGTTACATAATGAAACCTAATTTAAATCAATTGTAGGGTTCCTCCAAAATGAAGAATAAATCACAAGAAAAATAGGAAATGTTATAAAAAAATTTTACCGAAATTTAAAAAATTTTAATTTTTCGAAAAATTTTGGGTATGCAGTTTTATAGACCATTAAATTGTAGTATAATGAAATGAAAGTTGCAAGTGGCTAAGGTATTGCGTGATTTTTCATCTGCATGCGAAATGGGAAATAAGTGCGTTTATTTTATTAATAAAAATCAACGGGAACTCTTAGACACTTGCACCTTGCTCTTTATTACAATTTTACAAATTACAAATTTAATGATATATTAAACTGCATATCCCAATTTTTTACTAAAAACCAAAAAAAAATTAATTTTGCTGAAAATTTTTTATAACATTTGTGACTTTTTTTTCGTTTTGGGAGAACCGAACAATTGTTTTCAACTAGTTTTGTAACATTTATTAGATGGAAAGTAGAATACATTTTCTTCAAAATTGCTACTTTTTCTGCACTTTGCACTAAAAAATTTAAAATAAAAATTCACAAATCAGGCTCAACTGAACACTTGCAAATTTTATAAGCTTTCATTAAAAAAAAAATTAAGGCTCCAGTGAATTATGAACACTAAATGTTAGTTTTGAAACTCAGCGTGCAACACGTACTGGGCCCAACTTTCCCTTTTCTTTTGAGAATTTTACTCGAAGTATGTATATTAATTTTTCTATCAGTAATATCAATGATTCGTGGTTTATAGATTGTACAAAGATTACCGATTAAATAGCAACCCTTAAGAGAGGTGCGAAACAAACTGGCGAAGGTGTTCATTATATTTTATAAGGGACATTTTTATTATTTTATATTCTCTGTTCAAAAATTTACCTCTGAAAAATCCACAGCTGATTTAAAGGACAGATTAAGAAATAAAGGACAAAATGCGTCCTTTATTTCGAAAAAAATTTTAAAGGACAGAGGGTTAAAATCAAGGACTGTCCTTTAAAATAAAGGACGGATGGTCACCGTACTCATAACCAATATACGTACAAACACATGTACATATATACATATGCACATCTGCTTTTGCTTAAGGTTATATTTTTTTTATTTTTTCTATCTAGATCCCTGACTCTACCCCTGTTCGTTCTAATAACATTTATGTTATTCTGTTTTCCTTTATCTTCATTTTTATCTTTATACTATATCGATAACAAAATCTATAGCAAAATCGATAACAATATTGGTAGCAAAATCTATTAGAAACTCGATAAAAATATCCATAACAAAATCGACAAAAATATTGATAAAAATAATCATAACAAAATCGACAAAAATATCGATAACAAAATCTATAAAAATATCCATAACAAAATCGATAAAAAATCGATAAATATCGATAATAAAATCGATAATAAAATCGATAACAACATCGACAAATATCGATAACAAAATTGATAAATATCAACAACAGAATCGATAAAAATATCGATAACAAAATCAATAAAAATATCCATAACAAAATCGATAAATATCGATAACAAAATCGATAAATATCGATAACAAAATCGATAAATATCGATAGCAAAATCGAAAAATATCTATAATAAAATCGATAAATATCGATAACAAAATCGATAAGAATGTCGATAACAAAATCGATAAAAATATCGATAACAAAATCGATAAAAAATATCGCTAACAAAATAGTTAAAAATATCGATTACACAATCGATAAAAATATCGACTATTATATCGATAATTTCTTAAAATATCGACAACAAAACTGATAACAATATCGATAAAAATGTCGATAAAAAGTGGATTATTTTATCGATAAGTGCCGAGAATTGCTAAAATCTCTAAAATACCAAAATAATTCCCAGATTGAGTCTCTGTGTCCCTCTCTATATCTTTCCTCTTTAATTACCTTTATTTTAATCTTTCTTCCCCTATCTCCATCTTTACTTTGATCGGTATCCTCATCCTCCTCTTTGTCTTTACTTTTATGTTTATCATTTTCTTCATCTATATAGTCCCCTTCACCTTTGCCCTTATCTATACTATATACAAAATTCAAACCCGAAAGAGCGTGAGAGCAAAACAGCCGATGTACTGAGTCGATTTCTATGATTCAAGTTTTAAAATGACAGTAGCAAACAGTGGTATTTTTAAAATGAAATTTTAATAATAAGTGTGTTTAATTAAAGTATTATGTTGATCAACAATACCACGCATTGCTAGACCATTTGCCTTTCACGCGTTTGTGTTCAGAGAGCATCAACAAACCACATACATATTTCTCTCTATTCTCTTTTATTTTTACAACGCTTTTAGCAACTTGCAATGTTGTATGTCCAGACCACCATTTTATACCATAAATATAGCAAAGGTATTTATGGCAAACCTAGTCTAGATATCAACCTCGTCCTAGGTATCATATCAAAGACGTACAATTAGAACTCTAAAGATAGATGTCGCCTCGCCAGACGAAGTAAAAAACATGCACTACATATGCTACAGCGGAAATGGACGACACGCCATTTCTTTAAATGAAATTAATTGCTGCTATATGTATGCATGTAACGGGTGATTTTTTTGAGGTTAGGATTTTCATGCATTAGTATTTGACAGATCACGTGGGATTTCAGACATGGTGTCAAAGAGAAAGATGCTCAGTATGCTTTGAAATTTCATCATGAATAGACTTACTAACGAGCAACGCTTGCAAATCATTGAATTTTATTACCAAAATCAGTGTTCGGTTCGAAATGTGTTTCGCGCTTTACGTCCGATTTATGGTCTATGGTGATGAGGCTCATTTCTGGTTGAATGGCTTCGTAAATAAGCAAAATTGCCGCATTTGGAGTGAAGAGCAACCAGAAGCCGTTCAAGAACTGCCCATGCATCCCGAAAAATGCACTGTTTGGTGTGGTTTGTACGCTGGTGGAATCATTGGACCGTATTTTTTCAAAGATGCTGTTGGACGCAACGTTACGGTGAATGGCGATCGCTATCGTTCGATGCTAACAAACTTTTTGTTGCCAAAAATGGAAGAACTGAACTTGGTTGACATGTGGTTTCAACAAGATGGCGCTACATGCCACACAGCTCGCGATTCTATGGCCATTTTGAGGGAAAACTTCGGAGAACAATTCATCTCAAGAAATGGACCGGTAAGTTGGCCACCAAGATCATGCGATTTGACGCCTTTAGACTATTTTTT